TCTAGGAACGAATCTCAATTGCAATGTGATAACTTAAATTTGGGGTACAAACTTGTTTGTTGTCGTCAATTTTATTGTATATCCAGTCTATAAGACCCTGTAGGATATCTGATCATTAACCGTCTCCACAACAACCCGCTTCATTCGTACAAGTATCATCAGAAAAGATCTCGCTTTGGGACCTACAAAAATGAGAACTCCGTCACTACATTGCTTGTTATTAATAGTCATTGATTCTGGACAAGTTTCATTCCGCTACCTCGGTATATGCCAAATGTGATGTAAATTTACTCTCTTAATTCCGCCTCACTTACAAACACCAACCGATGAAATAGCGTGACAATGGCATGTCTAGACTATATCATGGTGCATGTCTACGGAGAATATGGTGAGAAAGGAAGGTAATCAAATGTAGATCATAGTCAAAGAGTGAATGCTTTTCCTTTTGCAAAGATGCACAAAAAAAAAAAAAAAATGCAAATATCGCATGCAGCAACTATGCTCATCTAGTTAAAAATATGTCCTAAATTAAGAGGTCACACATTCAAATTCTCCTACACAATCTAAAAATATTTTCATGGCACTAAGTGCATTGGTTCTACTTAACCATTAAAAGTCGTTAAGCTTTTGTTGGTTCTTTTTTCTTTTAATGTCTTCTTGACTGGAGTATATGATTAAATTAGTACGTGTAGATTACCAAGGCCCATTGATGAAACTTCGTCTTGAAAGATGTAGTTTTTTCCCTTGGCTTTCATTTTCAGACATGAGTTGATCTTCTCAACGGCCACGATGAGGTCCTGGACAAGTTGGATTTCAAAGATGTAAAAATTTTGCAAATAGAAATAACAATTTTATGCACAAGGTTAATCGTAGGAAGTATCACGCGAATATACAGGTAACGTTCTTGTAATTTTAGTCGAGGGTTTTTGGGGATGTAAGGGATCATGACATATTTACATTCAAATTCCTCACACAACGCGATCATAAAATGGGATTGTTCGCTAAAGTTCTTGCAATGACACTCCTCAATAAAGTAGAATTGCTCAAAGAAAAAACTACACCTTCAAGATATAGCTAAATCTCTTACGATGGTCACTTACCCGAACATGTTTGGGTGAAGCTATCCCTTATTACAACCTATCCAATTGGCAAAATGTTTGCTTGTACAACTATAAGTATAAAAAGTCCCGCACAGATTCTTCTGGAGTATTACCCCTATAAAGAGACTGTTCTTAACATCATCCCCTAGGATATATTCGAGTTTATAGATTTTTTTCAACATCCATCTCCCAATCGAAGTACACTTGACCCAGAGGCCATTAAATGCATCTTTCTAGGATATGCTTCAAATCAGAAAGGATAGATGCTACTTCCCAGGTCAAAGAAATCTTCTCCGTGGATGTTACCTTCTTTGGAAACCAACCGTATTACCAGAAACCTTAGACTTCGGCTTAAAACCTCCTCGAGAACTTGTTGGAACGTAGGTGTGAATAGCACTGACCGTGTTACTAAAACTAGGAGGAAACGGTATGAACTACTCTGATTGCTTATTTAGAACTACATGTGGTGACTCTTCGGCTTGTTAGAAGGGCTATTTAATTTTCATCTAATTCATCATGCATTTAGTAATAACTCTCGGCTAGTTAGGAAGGGCTCTCAACCATCAAATTAACAAAGGTAGATATATAATGGAAACTCAACAAACATTAATGAATAAAATCAAATGGAATTATATAGTGTCGTACCTCCCATGATGCTAGGCTCTTCATATATGATGGGATACTTTCAAAGTCATCCTTTGATAGCTTAATTGAAGGTGAAATGGCCTCTTCATATTTCAAGTAATCTTCACCTTCCTCTGCCTCATACAAATGCCAAAGTCATGAACTTCATACCTTGATATAGGTCAAAAAACCATTAAAATAATAATGCCTAAGACTGCAATCTACGAACTTCCTACCTTCAGACACTCCAATTTGTGCAGCAGATTGGCATGGAAAATTGGAGTCAAGTGGTTTCCCTAAGAACCTGAAAAGAAAAATGAATCCTATGATTCAATTTACTAATCTTTTATTTGGCAATATACGAGCTGCTGATGAAATGAAAAGAAACAACAAATGTTCAAATTCAATCAAATGATCTTCTAAAATCATAATATAATTTATACAGATTTGAACCTACTTTTTCGGGGTATGAAAATCCACATACGGATCATCAAACCTGGAGTTACCTATAAACGCAATAATGAGAAGTTGCTTGTTAAGAAAGCCTTAAGCGAAGAATAAAGCCATTACAGATAACCAAAAACAATCGAAGTTCAAACTCCTTCAAAATATGGATAACCATCATTTTTACTCCTCTTACATATTCTGGAAAATAGCATATAAAGGCAAGTGGCAATTAGAGTCTTCTTACCTTCAGATGCTAAAGTAGCCAGACAAACATCTGAAAGCCCAGCATTTTGTAAACTTAAAGAGTCATCGAGTCTGGAAATGACAAGAACAACCAAGTGATTGAGGGTACAAGATAATTCGCTAATTGATAGGTAGCTATCTTTTTATACACTTGTACCAATCCTGTGTTTTGAAAGGTGTGCAGCATGCGACCTCCGGTTTTTTTAAACTTTTGTATTCTTTTACTGGTTAAAAAGAAATAAGGGGGAAATTGTTATATCTTTAAAGAATTTCTGAAAAAAAATCCTTATTTCTATAATTTTTCATACTGTACTTTTCTTCTATTATTTTAATTGAATTTTTCTATTGCATGCTTCACTCAAAAATAATAATAAGTAGGATCACTTTTTTTGGCCACGCACAGAAGCCCTAAAGAGGTAACTGCACTTAGTGTGCCACACTTAGAGAATTTCATATCCACAAATTTTAAAGCACTTGGTTTGCTATGCCTTGCAAAAACAAGGTCAAGGTGCATATTTACAACAAACTCAGGGACAGAACAAGCCAAACCGGGAATGTGTGCATTGCATACTCTAGCCTTGCACATGTTGCCGTTCTGCCTTGCTTCATCTCTAACCTCAGCTGGCGCACCCATGAGCGTGCCGTCAGCCAAGTCAAGTGCCTTGAATTTGTGGGTAAAGAACCACAGTTTCAATCTTCTACTTCTCTCTATTTATATATAACCAATAAGATAAGATACTACTATATAACAAGGGAAGGAGGAGGGAAGGATACAATACAGTATGTCTTCTTCGAAATTATGCTTGGCAAGTCCTGTCATAGAGACCGATCTCTGGTATGAAGACGGTACGTTCAATCCATCCATGGAGCTTGAAAGCTCGAAACACAATCCAGATGTTAATGCATGGTTATAATTTTCGTCTTCTTCTTCGATCTCAAACTCTAAGGCAAAAGAAGATAAATGATGCAGCATTAATAAAATTAATAATCATTCTTTCCCTTTTGTTCTATGATTTTTCGATAAAAATTAAATGATATTGAGAATTTAAAGATTAATAATAATAAGGATCGTATGTATCCTATTTAAAGCTACTCCACTCGTCATTTCATCACAACATTCAAGAAAAGAAGGAATTCAATGTAATTCACCTGGAACGTATCCGACGCCCTTAAGCTGCTTTTGTATCTCTTGGAGATCGCTTTCGTTCTTCTTGTAAACTTCACTGACGTGCCCTAACAGCTCCTCAAAGGATACTGTTGCTAAGGACTTTGATTCGAGCAAACTGAGATCAACACTAACAGCCGACACGCGGCGGTTGAGAGATTGTATGAAGGTCGATGATGCCGAATCTAGAGTATATAGTCTCAACAATTAGCACAAATCAGCAACCCTTACTTATCAACAACCTCAAAATTGCAGTCTAATTCATCAAAGCAAAACACAAAAGCAAATTCACGAACGGAAAAGAAAAAACAGCCATATTCGATCTCCTAGTTTATCAAGGCAGCAATTCTTTGTAATTTTCAATCAAATTCCATTCGTCGGAGTACCGAAAAGAGAAGACAAGGTAAGAAAGAGATGGAGATAGTGCGTACCGAGAGGAATGGGGCGGCGATCGACGGACTGTTTGAGGGCATTGCAGCTGTTTTGAAGATGATTGCAAAATGGCGCTAGGGTTTTGTTGAAGTTCGATATCAGATCCTCCATTCTTCTTCTCTTTCAGATGTTCAAATTGAATTATGCTTCAACTGATCGATCCATTTGGCTGATTTTTTAAAAAAAAATACGAGAAATGGCGGGAAAACCATACTCGAATTTTAAAATAAATATTAAATTATATATATATATATCTTTTTTTTTTTTAAATCACATTTATTTTGTGTTCCTTTTAATACATTACTTTTTTAATTCAATAGCTTTTTTATACTTTTTTGAGACCTTATAAAATATTTCTCTTATTATTTTTTCATATATAAAATTATATTATTATAATGAAACTCAACTTTAAATTTTTTAATATATAACAATTTATTTTTTATATTTATAAATTTGTAATCATTTACTCTCTTTATCGAAAAAATTATTAAAATTATATTATTTCTTACCATTAATTTTGAATGAAAACGTTAATATCTTGCTACATCAAAAATATTTTCCTAAATTTTTAAAAGTTTCATTAAAATCATTTAATTTTTTTTAAAAAAAACAAAAAAATTATCTTTAAATTTTTTTAAAAGCCTCACAAACATTAAAATAATAATAAATATACATTTAAACTTCAATTTAACTTTCTTTTTTCTTTTTTTTTTATAATTGTTAAAGGCGTCGATGTTATTTATATATATATTTTTATATTTTTTAAATTTAGTACTCATAAAATTATTTAAAAAAATTAAAGAATATTAAGAATATTTGCAAAGCAAAACACTTGCTGTTTCTATCTAAAACTAACGATAAACCAACTTGAATAGACATGGATATTTCACGGGTCTCATATGACTTCATTTTATGCACTGATGATCGATTTTGATTCCATGCAATACCATACGCAAGAGAGACAACGAGAGACAACGTAGGCCATGAACGAAAAGATGTAGAGAACATGAGGTATTTTCATGAAAAGGGCTCTCATATCTTACAATTTACAACCCATGCATCTTCAGTTTCGAGGAAAAAGGCAGAAGAAGAAGAAGAGGACGATACATCGACGACGATGATGAGAAACGGAGTGCATGATAAGGAACAACTTATGATCGATACTCTAGTTATAGTATCGCTTAATGTACAAAAGTCTAGATACCTTTTGTTTCATGAGAGTTCACCTTTAAGTGCAGCAGCAGCCCTTGTAATGGCTCTAACCACTCTCCAGATCTCATGCTGAATTACACCCTGCCCTTCACTTTGGTTCATTTTCATCGACTCCGAAATTGCGTTGGCAATACCCGGGAAGTAAGACAGTGCACTCTCATAGTCACTCGATGGCCCGTAAACCTGCGACAGAGGAGGGTTATCATAGTCGCTCGAAGTCGCTCGAAAGCCTGTAACTACTGGAATTCTGAAAACACGCTCAAACTATTCTTATGTCTCTTGGGCTTATTGAGATACGTTTCCAACCAAGTCTTTGACAAGGGAACAGGAGAATTCCCACTAACGCTGGTAGGCCAACCCGGCCGTGAGCGCGGTGGGATCGGGCTTCCCAAAAAGCCAACCCCGAGTAGACTCAGAGTGGAAGGAAATGGAAGGGCTAGATCTGTTCTCTTGAACAACAAACCCAAAGGTTAAAGATTGGTGCAACTAGAGGGCCTATTGAGATTATTGAGCTCTCCACACGTTTATAAAGGCACAGTTGCTATAACAGCCCAAGCCTACCGCTAGTAGATATTGTCCGTTTTGGCCTGTTATGTATCACCGTCAGCCTCACGGTTTTTAAAGAGTATCTGCTAGGGAGAAGTTTCCACACCTTATAAGGAATGTTTCGTTCCCCTCTCCAACCGACGTGGGATCTCACAATCCACCTCCTTGGGGGTCTGCGTCCTCGCTAGCACACCGCCCGGTGGCTTTAATACCATTTGTAACAGCCCAAGCCCACCGCTAGTAGATATTGTCCACTTTGGCCCGTTACGTATTGCTGTCAGCCTCACAGTTTATAAAACCCGTCTACTAGAGATTTCCACACCCTTATAAGGAATGCTTCGTTCCCCTCTCCAACCGACGTGAGATCTCCCAATTGCTAAGCAGCAAGCACTCACAATCATTTGGCAACACATCGATGATATCAAATACTTACAAGATGCTTGAACCATGTACGGCCTCGAAGCCCCTCAACGTCCAAGAACCCTCTTTCGGCCAGCATCAAACGATCGTTTAACGCTCGCGTTTGAAACAATGCCACAGCAGTAAAAGTTTCTTGCTCTCTCAATCTCTGTATTCACAATATAATTCAGCATGGCTGTTAGAACACATAAATACACATCAAACATGTTAGATGCAGCACCCTGAGTTCCATTTCTTTTTGTGATCTTACCTTTGCTTCGTTCTCAATTTCCTTGGCAGCGGACTTGAATTCGTGGATGGACGTTGATAACGATTGCAACGCTACGCTTCCATCTAAGATATCGTTCAGTTTATCTCTGTATGCCTGTGTTGGAACAGAATCGACAACGTTTTATAAACAATGCTACAGCCTACAACCAGAAGCATAATGTCGTGCTTCTAATACGACATGAAATTTAGTATAAGATCGGGCCATGCTACCCGAACTTCTATCCATTTTGCGTTTGAGCTACATGAATTTTTGAAAATTTGATTTTAACCCCTCAACTTCCTTAAACAATCCAAACAAAGAACAAAAGTATCCAAAGTAAGGTCACCTGTAGCTGATTCGCGTAGGAGGCGTAACTGAAAGGGAGGATTAAATCGTCAGCAAGTCGAAGGGCTAGCAGTCCCCAGATGCTGCCAACTGAACGAGAAAGTGACAGATGACCGTTAAAGCGTGCGATCGAATGCTAACCGTTCATTATTTGTAATGAAAGTTGGTTTTAATTCAAAAGAAGACGCTAACCAGCCGCATGTCGATGAAACAACGGGTCTCCATAACTCGCCATCCAATCATATGTGTCGAAGGCAGTATGATATACAGGAAAATCTGAGTGAGAAAGGAAAGTTGTCACAAAACAGAGGCAAACTAGATAGCAAGTTTCTTTAAATTGACCATAATTAGTGGCATATGGGCTAAGAAGAAGGTACCTCTTCCATAATAGACATCAATAGAAGGAACTCCTGCATGTTGCACAAATGCAGCAAAATCAGAATTCAGGGCACCAAGTCTTTCAATCTGCAAACTAGCCAGGAACAATTGCAATCAAACAATCAATGAAGAATTCACAACTGGTATGAAATCATCGGTTGGAGAGGGGAACAAAACATTGCTTACAAGGGTGTAGAAATCGCTTACTAGCTGACATGTTTTAAAACTTTGAAAGAAGAACCCAAAGAGAACAATATCTGGTAGTGGTGGACTTGGGCTGTTACAAATGGTATCATAGTCAAACACCGGGTGGTGTGCTAGCGAGGATGTTGGGCCCCCAAGGGAGGTGGATTGTGAGATCCTACATTGGTTGGAGAGGGGAACGAAGCATTGGTTACAAGGGTGTGGAAACCTCTCCCTAGCATATACGTTTTAAAACCTTGAGGGGAAGCCTGAAAGGAAAAGCCCAAATAAGACAATATCTGCTAGAGGTGGGCTTAGGTTGTTACAAATGATATCAGAGTCAGACACTGGGCGGTGAACGTTGGGCCCCCAAGGGGGGTGGATTGTGAGATTCCACATCAATTGGAGAGGGGAACGAAACATTGATTATAAGGGTGTGGAAACCTCTCCCTAGCTTGAGAGGAAGCCCCGAAGGGAAAGCCTAAAGAGGACAATATCTACTAGAGGTGGACTTGGACTGTTACAAATGGTATCAGAGCTAGACACCAGGCAATGTACCAGTGAGAACGCTGGCCCCCAAGGGGGGTGGGATTGTGAGATCCTACGTCGGTTGGAGAAGGGAACGAAGCATTACTTATAAGGGTATGAAAACCTCTCCCTAACAGACACATTTTAAAACATCGAAGAAAAGCCCAAAGAAGACAATATCTACTGGTGGTGGACTGGGGCTGATACAACACAACATCTTCACGACAGCATTTAGTAACATTCATCAATAAAACTCTATTCAAAAGCCTAAGATTATTTAGTTTTGTGACTTCTACTATCATTCAAAGAAGCCCGGAGCAGTAGAGAGCGAGTCAACACATAGACTAAGCTAATCCCTCCGTAGTTATACGGTGGTCGTGACACAATAAGCAGTAAAGAAAAGCCAATAGGGATAAACAAATTGACATGAATGACAGATTAAGGAAGTATGCTCTTACATTGCCGATTCCATTTGTGGCGGTCCACGTGTCATACACAGTTGCACCTTTCACATCAGGATCCTCGACCTGATATCAGTTCAAGTCTTTAGAAACATGTACAACTACACCCCCGACAAGATTCTATTACCAAAACAATAATCTCTTTACTTCGATACCTGTGCAGTAACCTCATGGAGGAGATCATCTAGCTGAGGGGTTGCACCAGAAAAGAACCCTGGTCCCTGAACTGCACAATCTACATTAAGGTAGGCCACAGCTTTGGTTCCAAGGTTCACAATGTTTTGCTCAACCCATTCAGTAGATCCTATCTATAAGCACCAAAATGTAGACCATAAATTACGCGTACGAAGTCGATAAAACATAATAATCATTCATAGCACATGGAGATTTGGGAGTACCTACCATACCGAATTCTTCAGCATCCCAACTGCAAAGAAGAAGTGTTCTTCGAGGGCTCCACCCCAACTTTCTCAAAAGAGCAAATCGACGTGCAATGTCAAGTAAGGCTGCTGTTCCACTGTTCGGGTCAACTGCCCCGAAACTCCATGCATCTCTATGATTACCCATAATCACAAAGCGATCGGGCTCTTCTAACCCCTTTATGACAGCCAAGACATTATGAATTGTTGCTATTTTTCTCTCCCCCTACAAATGAAATGAATGAAGAGTGTTAGAAAAAGGAAGAAATTGGGACAAAAAATGAAACAACCATGATAATGAAGAATCTCAAAACTTGATGCAAATCCAAAAGGCTCCATATCCATGGTCCATTTTTTAGATGCGTTTTAAAATCGTGAGGCAGACGGTGATACGTAACAAGCCAAAGTGGACAATATCTATTAGCAATGGGTTTGAACGGTTACAAATGGTATCAGAGCCAGGCACCAAGTGGTGTGCCAACGAGGATGCTGACCCCCAAGGGGGGTGGCAAGATTCCATATTGATTGAAGAGGGGAACGAAACATTCTTTATAAGGGTGTGGAAACCTCTCCCTAATAGATGTGTTTTAAAACCGTGAGGCTGACGGTGATACGTAACGGGCCAAAGCAGACAATATCTGTTAGTGGTGGATTTGAACAGTTACATCGAGTAACAACCACAAAACCCCAAAGAGAAAACAGAAAAGATTTACAAATCGAAATACAATTACAAGAAATCCCTCCAACGAGAATTGATCTCACAATCAAGAGAAGAACATCAGAGAGAGCACTCCAAGAAGCGGCATGGAGCTATATCAACTCTTTCGAGTGATACTAACCCCAAAAACCGAATATCAATACATACTCCTCGTGAATTGACCCGACAAAAATCCTAAGAGAACTTTCTCCACTTACAACTGATACAATGTCAATATTTTTTAGCATCATTTTTTACTGTGAAAAAACACCATGAAAATTTTGAAAACTTTTACCCTATGATGCCTCTTTCAATGTAATTTATGTCCTGATGATTAAACTCAGCAAGACAGGACAAAAAGTCCGACAAAGAACAGTGACATTGAGACAGTAGGCTGAAGCAGAAAACATGCCCACAATTATGGTCAAGATAAGCAACGAAGGACACGACACTTCCAAGTTTGACAAAGCTTTTACAGCCGTAAAGCAAGTCACTTCTTCTAGGCCGAACAGAACAAACAGACAAAACAACAGCCACTAGCTAAAAAATTTCAGCACACAAACAGTTTATATTTTGACTATGTGTTGAAATTCAAAACCTGGTAAGTGAAGTTGAGATATGTCGGACCACCAGGCCCCACCGCCGCCGTCCCGAGCTTGATTGTGGTGTCCCGCCACTCCGGCGGTACGGAAGCAGTGTCCAATGAACTCAAAATGATCTCAGCAGCCTCAGCCGACAAAGGCATGGAAGGAATTTTGGGAAACTTTCTCAAAACTTCACTGTCGTTCAAATTCAACCTCTCAGCTCCATCAATGGCTGCCCAACCAGGGCTGAGTGGGTCCCCAATTCCCCTCATCACTGTACCTCTCTCAAACCCCTGTCTATACCCGTCGCTGTCGGCGTACAATAGAACCCCTTTTACCCCATTAGCCTCCGCCTTCGCCACCACCACACCCCTCGGAAATTCCCCTTTTCTCGCCACCGCAATGCATCCGGCGACGGTGACACCCATCGCCGCCAGAGCCCGGTAGTCTTCATCTCGGCCGTAGTTTACAAATACCGCCACGCCGTACGCCGTACCAGACGGCGAATACGCGTGGTACGGCTTAACTACGCCCTCAACATTCTCCGATAACGGAATTTGAACAACACTTCCATTCGGCAATCGAGCCGTAAGAGAAGCGTATTTAGGGTAAGAAAGCAGAGCATCGTAGCGAATCGAGTGCGTTTCGAATCCGAGATCCCGGAAATGAGACTCCACATATCGGACTGTTTCCGACGAGGGTTCCGTTCCGGCGAGATGGGGATGAAGAGTGAGCGACCGGAGATACGACGCGACGGTGTAGTTCGACGCCGATGAAAGAAGAAACTGCCGGTACCGGACGGAATTTCTCAAACTCGAAGTTGCAGAGAACGACGAGGAGCTCGAAGAATGAAATGTGTAAAAACCCAAAACGCAGATGATGATAAAGAAGAGAAGGGTCGTTACGGGAGAAGGTTTCGATGAACACAAGGTCGTGAGCTGCTTCAATGGCGGTGGGGCCATTTCAAGAGGAACAAACCCAGATGGAGAAATTTGGGTGAGTGAAGGGTTTTTGAAGAGGAAGATTCAAAGGGGTTTGGAGGAATTATAATATAAAAAGGAATTGCGTGAATCCGCCATTAACGAGGAAAGGGGAAAGAAAATGAAGAGCATTGAGAGTAATTATTATATATAAAAATATGTTGAAAAAGATTGGTAGGTTATGATTTGTGGGTTTTGATTTGATTTTTGAATTTGTTTATAAGAACTGGGAAATTGTGAAATCTAAATTCATGTATTATAGAAATAGGAGCAGCGGATGCTCAGCCCGGTTGGACAAAAATGACAGCTTTTTTGCCTTAAAAAAAACAATATTCATAAAGTTATGAGAATTCTTTTATGGAGGTTGAGAACAAACTTTTGTCTTTTAGTTCGAGTGAAATGCACTTGCTAATTGCAATTTTTTTTTTTTTTTTTTTTTTTTT